CGGCCCGTTACCAAACGACTCACGGACTGGTACTGGTCCGAGGGTACCGCTGTTCTAACATATGCAAGCAAATAATATAAAAGCACTACAGCTGCTCTCTACATTTGAATCTCATCTTGGTTCCTTACACAAAGTAAACCGGCAGTCTAACCTGGAGGGGTTCCACGAGATGCAGCTGCAGCTGAGCTTGCAGGAGATCTCATGCTGCAGGGACCACTGACTCAGGTTCATCACATCGGGAGCCTCGTAGATCCTCACCACCCCGTCCGCAGAGCAGGTGGTCAGCATAAGACCCATGTGTTTAGGAGCAAACTTCACATCGGTCACTGACGTTCTACTGTCCACTAGCGTGGTTCTCTTAATCTAAAAAAGCCCAACATGAAACACTCAGGTGAAATCTAACAAACAGTTATGTTAAATGGGAAATGTAATGCAAGTGTACTAACCCAGTGGCTCAGTCCTCTCTGCTTGTCATTGGACTCTCCTACGATCTCCTCCCAAACAGCAGCTGTTCTGTCAAAGGAGCAAGAAGCTAGAACCTGTCCAAACTCTGGATGCGCCCAGGTCACTCGCCACACTGATCCACTGTGTGTCTGCACATAACAGCATTCATCTATTAACTCCATCGATACTTTGAATTTCATGCTGTGTTCATACTCAAAAACACAAACATAAAGTAATAAATAAAAAAGAAAAGGAAATTATGGTGGTTTACCTTCCAGCTGGCTGTGCAGTGCCACTCTCCGTTCTCACTTTTGTCCCAGACCTGAGTGAAATAAAATCACAACCTTGAATACTCCTCACGTGTCTGTGCACAATTATCACCGGTTTTGCACTGACATTTGTATGTACGTCCTTTATTATGTCGTCACATAATAAACACTACATCGATAGCTCTGTCGGAAAACTGCAGTGCTTAACTACACTACTATGCTATAGAGCTTATCTGTGGCCAGCCTAACTCGTGTGCTACAAGCACCAGAGCTAACAGACTAGCATATTAAACTGAGATAATTTCCCTCGAGTGTAAGAACCAGCGGAAGATTTCTCAAACAACCTCATGCCACGTCTGTCAACGACTGCAGGAAAACGAGTCAGTAATTTCAGTATGTAAGGTGAGAGTGTCGGTAATGTGGGCAAGGCTATCCTGCTAGCTATAACGGCTAATGCTAACATTAGCAAACTATGATGTACAGCTCACCTTGACACTTTGGTCGCTGGAGCAAGTCGCCATCCTCCGGCCGTGAAAATCATACGATACGTCATGAATTAGATCTTTATGATCTGCCGCGATACTACGCGCAACAAACATGATGACAACTATGTACCGGCAACTCTAGCTGGGACGATTAGCTGGCAGGCCTGTCATGTGTCTACTTGTGCTGTTTATTTGGCGGTAATGTGATTGTGTGTAGTACAAGCTATTGACCACACGGCGGCGCATGCACACAAATTTTAAGCAGCCCAATGCGACTTTGGGGTTCTTTATAAGAAGATAAAATATAACGAAAGTTATTCGGTGAAAAAGTGCTACAGCCAGAGTTACTTTGAACAGACAGATTAATAGGTTTATTAATACACAACTGCCAAAATAAATATAGCATGTAAAATACTGTCAAAGTTACCTCTTGCGCGGTTGCCAGGTTTGATCCAACTGACAGTTTTTTTTCTTCGCTAACTTTATTACTAAAAGTTAATTTCAAGTAACAATATTTAAACAGATTTGTGCAAAGGAATTTTGTAAAGGCAAAAAATAATAGTACTTAAAAACATTCAGTAGATTTATTGTGAAAGAACTTTTATGCGTTCAATAAGATTATTGCATTAATTAATTAAATTAATGCATTCATTGAAATACTGCAATATACCTTGTTTTTTTTGTTTTGTTTATTTGCTTGTTTTTAGTGTTTGAAATACGGCCAAAAGAATCTTCCAGTTAGAAACAACTGAATAGAACACTGACACACACACACACACACACACACTGTGTGTGTGTGTGTGTGTGTGTGTGTGTGTGTGTGTGTGTGTGTGTGTGTGTGTGTGTGTGTGTTTGCGGAAGACTGTGATGAACGCATATCTGGCAACCCGGGTCAGTCAGCGTGCAGGCAGGCCACAAGAGCAGGCAGCAAGCAAGCAAGCAGTATTGTGCCGGAGCAGCAGACTCCCCGCAGGGATTCCTAGGGTTACACACACTGCTGTTTAGATGGCTGACAGAAAGGAGTAAGTTGGTGAACGGTGCTGAAAACACTCTGAGATTATTCCGGCAAGTGTCCTGGTTCACTAACTACAACACAATGGAGCAAGAATTTCAAGACATTGATTCGTCGGGGAGATGGCAAAACCTTTACAATGTAAGTCGGGACACTGACCGGGCCTCTCTTGTTTCTATGACGATCGGTTGCTAACTAACTTAGCTAGCTAATTTGATAGCTATCAAGTTAGACACCACTTAGAGATTTTGGTCACTTTTCGTCCACGCTTTTAATTGTGTAAATTTCTACACTTCGCGACATGACTTCCAGGTTCTTTATACATATTGGAGTGCAATTGGTAAAGACGAATGAGTAACTAGCATTTCGCGCTAGCTGACTTCCGTAGCTGGAAAACGTGCATCGGCTCGATCTTCACTTCGGTTAGCTAATGCTGGCTGACGCTAGCAGACGTCAGCCGCAGTTTCTGAGAACTCATCAGGACTTCCACAGAAAAGCGTGTTGTGTTTTACCACGCAGCACAGCATTTCGTTTATAATATCTCTGTTCCGGTTAAACTTTGGCTATGACCCTGTAATGTGCAGCTGCGAACTATAAAGATACCATGTAACTAGAACTGTTTTTGTTTTTGTTATTTACACATCAGTGTTAATAAATTAAGAAGAAATGAACGTGCACACTTTATACATTTTTAGAAAATGTTTTTAAAAAACCCTTTTAAAACTTTTTTTGACAGGGAGCGGGGGGGGGGGGTATATATATAAAAAGTGCATGATAAGTAATTTCATAAAAGATCAAATTTCTTCCATGCTAACGTCAGGCTCCCAGTCCTACTGAGAATTAAAGTGGGATTAAACAGAAATGAGAATACTAATACTTAATTTAATTTCTTACCCATTTTAAGGATAATGTCGTTAGCATGATAATATATTTAAACCAATAGTGCTCATTGTACATAATGGTGCTTTTCAGTTCCATATGTTATTGGTTTATCTCTCAGTTCATTTCTAATACAAGTCCCAAGCTTGAATAAATGGGGAGGTTTAAGGAAGTCAAATATGCAGACCAAGAATACAGCATCGTCTTAGTACATCTATGCACTGAAACTGTACTTTGTGTACCACTAAAAATTACTTTTGCCACTAGTCTTATCCATGGTGCTGTAGCTCAGTGGCAGTGAGGGGACACGCCCCTGCTCACGACAGTATTCTTGGGAGTGTCAAAAATAATTTTTATTCTCTTTTATTCTTTTCTTGTCTCCAGTAAAACCGCTTCTGTTCCCCAGAATGAAATAATAATAGAACTGTGCTCGCCCTTTGGCCTTGCCCATGCAGACTGTGCTGTAAAAGGAAAACAACAGCCTGAGGCATTGCAGTAGATTAAGTTTGACAAATGACAATGAAAACAAAGCAGACCAGTTGTGATTAATTGAGTACAAAGGATTGAGGACCTTTGATCTCTGTATGGTTTTTCTTTTAATGTCATTACTGGTCACCACTCCAGTAAAACTGGATGCACATGAATTGAACAGGTTGTGTCACAGTTTCCTGTCGCTGTCAAAGCGATCCTTCTGAGTTCCTGTTTGGTTTCTCATCTGCAACAGGAGATCCGTAACCAAGCCAGTGAATATTCCTACAAAGTGGCAAAGCTTCCAGTGAATCGGAATCTGAACCGCTACAGAGATGTCAGCCCATGTGAGTGTTACGACAGTTAAGGCTCTCAGTGACGATATGTGCTGCCAAGAATGACGTAGTCATAATTGCTCTGTGATCTCTTGCTTGGTTTCAGACGATCACAGTCGGGTAAAACTTGAAAACTCTGAAAATGACTACATCAATGCAAGTTTAGTCGATGTGGAAGAAGCCCAAAGAGCTTACATTCTTTCTCAGGTATGTAGATTGTAGGACAAGCAGTGTACACTGAACTGTCTGCGCGGATATCTGTTGAACACATCTGCGTGCCGCTCAAAGGAAAATACACAGGATTTGAGTTTGGCATTTTGGTAGTTGTTCATGATCTCTGGATGTTATTTGTTTATGTGGATTTTCTACTTTTGCTTTGACAGGGCCCCTTGAGGAATACATGCGGCCATTTCTGGCTGATGATTTGGGAACAGAGTTGCAAAGCTGTTATAATGCTCAACAGAGTGATTGAAAAAGGATCTGTGAGTACACTGCAGCACCTTCTAATTATTATGTTCTGAAGTCCCCCTGCTGTTTAGGTTAGTTTGAAAGTTTGAGGAGACGTATCTTTATTTATTGATGTAGATATATTTGCTCATCCCAAAAGGTTTGAGATCAATTGTCTTTGTCATTCCTATTTCCACTGATGCTAAAATTCTGTGCATTTTACAAGATGAAATAGAATCCAAGATACGTTTTATTGTGTTTTCTTTCTAGTGTACCCACTTTTATCTGGTAGACTAAAAAGGATTTCAGCCCTGTCTTGGAGTTTTCAAAAAGATGATCAGATCTACTATAAAATTTAATTGGCTTGTTTTTCATGCATGTGCCATCTCTTCACCCACCACGTTTCATGAAATTCACTGTGGTAGGTGTAACCATGCTGACAGACAGATTGAGATGCAAAGAATGCCACAATTTTGAAAAAATGAATTGAAATACTGAAGAGCTGCACATGTTTAAATTCGTTATGGATCAAAGCCTAATTGAGATATTTTGGGCAGTTATCATGACTCAAATTCCTTTACTTGACAATGGGAAAAAAAATTAATTTCCTTACATTTAAAAAAAAAAAAGTCTAGTTTAAAATGTCTTTTTCTTGCTCTGTGGTGTTATACTTCATCAGAACTCTGTGTTTCCCAAGATTGTCTTAAGCTCTGTGGTCATGTTTTAAGTTGTACTGTATGTAAAGTTTCAGTTCTGTTGTTTCCATTTATTTGAAACTTTAACCACAGTTCCAGGAAAGTTAATGATTACTTAGTTTTGAATGTGTGTTTTGATTTTTCGTTTCACTTGTATTTGGATTTCATGTTTCAGTTTAGGTTTTACTCTCTAAAAAGGTTTCATTTTCAGTGAGGTTTCATTGTTGTGTGTTTCATTGCCTTTTTTTTTTTTTTAAGTTTCAGTAAACAGTTGTTTTTTTGTTTTTTTTTTCTCTCTCTCTCCACACTTTGGTTTTTAGTTGAGTTTAGTGTAGCTAACTATCATGGCCTTGGTGCCAAGAACAACCAATGGAAACTGGAAACAAGCTGTCAGGTACTTCGGTGTACAAGAACGTAATTAGTTGTTCTCTTTGCACACAGTTGATTTTCCGAATCCGAGGAATGGTGTACATATGTGCAACTGTTCTCAGTATTTAAGTCAGAAGTTCTTCAAATGGCTCGAGGCACATGACAGCCTATCCATGAGTAACTGAATGTATTTGTCTCAACAGGAAAAGTGCGCGCAATACTGGCCTACCACCGAGGAGCTACAGATGTCTTTCACAGACACAGGGTTTGTTGTGAGGCTACTGTCAGAGGAGGACCAATCCTATTTCACAATCAGATTGCTGGAACTGCAAAATACAAAGGTGAGTATGCAAGGGTGCCTATTGGTTAATAGCATCTCTCTTGAGTTTCAGCATGGTTTTAAGCACTGCTTAACCAGTCTCTTACCATTTAAGTGTAATAGCATGTAGCTGAAAAAAGACTGTGATTTCAGAGTGTGTAATGTTTTCCTAGTGACAAATCAGCTAAGTCATGCAGAACTATGTCTATACAATGCTCCAGTCTTGACCAAACATTATGCCTACCACAGACAGAGGAGTCGAGAGAGATCTATCACTTTCACTACACCACATGGCCTGACTTCGGTGTTCCAGAATCCCCTGCCTCCTTCCTCAACTTCCTCTTCAAGGTTCGGGAGTCTGGCTCGCTGGACCCGGAGCATGGGCCCTCAGTGGTGCACTGCAGCGCTGGGATTGGTCGCTCAGGGACCTTTGCCTTGGTGGATACCTGTCTAGTTTTGGTGAGAAGGGGAGTGGGGAAATGTCACTGATAGTCTGCCACTGTTAAAGAGAATTCTTTCGCAAGAGGTTCTCATTACAATGACTACAGTCTGATGATGGTAAGATGAGGCGTTCATGCTCTGATTGTACTTGTGTGCTGATAACGTGCTTACAGAGCAGTGTTGACGTGTAGGTATTCAGCGTGAGTGTGTAAAGTCTGGAATATTTTAACTGGAGCAGAGAAGAGGCCCTTAACTGATTATTTCTTGGGAAATCAGGTTTCTCAGGAATAACTCCTAAATTACCACAATTCCACATGTGTCTGCAACTATATGGAACTAAATTCCCAATTCTTATCATGTCTTGATGAGTTTTAAAGCTCTAAAAGCAAAAAAAAGATGAATCTTATTTCACTAGAAAGTTTTGCAAATTTCCTGTGGCTGTTTGACTTGTCCGTCGGCCTTGTTAAAATGATTTTTTTTTTTTTTTTTTTTTTTTGGCCAGCTGTTAGGTTAACCAGACCTTAAGTGCTGTAGGTCTTTCATTATTGTTCAACACTACACCAAAAGTAAGTAGTGGGTTGATCAGAAGGAGATCTTCAGCCTCTTCTATGAATCAAACTCAGCATATGCAGGATGTCTGTCCCTTATCTGATTTCAATTACCTAAAGATGGACAAGCAGGTTATCACCTGCAGGGCATTATCACCTTCATAAGTCAGCCCAGAATGATAAACTAACACAGGCAGAAAGCAACACCACTACAAATCCGTGATGTGTGAGTGTGATAGGAAAAGCCCTGTGCAGTAGTGCAATATTAAAAGTGCTGCATGAATGTATATGCACTTTTAAGTGCTTTGGGCAGTAAGACTGGATAAGTGCTATATTAATAAAGTCTAGCCTAAAAGGAGCAAGGAGAAAGAAAGGTGGCTAGAATGCACATAGGATTACAGTATTGTATTAAGACATGGAAGAATTCTCTAATCTGCATAGGGTCAAAGGTATTCATACGCACAAATCTACTAGTCCTAAAGATTCTGTAATATGTTTAAACTCTACAAGGCCAAGGGTTATAGACTTCTTCTTAGTGATCATGATTGCAGACAACTGGCAGTTTCTCTTTGGGGTGATTAAAATGATTTGTTTGGCAGCACTCATTGGACTGACCAGAACAATGGGAAATTTAGGGGAACTCAGTGAAGCTCTAAGAAGGAGAATTGTAGATTTAGACAAATTGGGAAGGTCCTTTTGAGCCAAAAAATTGCCAATTTTAAGATCATCGGTTCAAACAGTTATATGTAAGATCAAGTTGCTTGGATTTGTCACAACTTTTCCAAGAACTGCCATGAACTGGAAATTGCTGGAACACCAGCATCACTGTCCACAGTGAAGTCAGTTTTACGGAATCATGGACTAAGAGGATGCTGCTCATGAAAGTAGCTCCTGCTTCAAATTCAACACCTTCAGCCTTCTGGAGAAAAGTTTTATGGGGGCTGGTTTTGGGTTAGGTTTTGGAAACTTGAGCAAGAATTCCTTCAGAGCCTTGCCCTGCTTTTTAAACCCCAAATAGAAAATTTAAAAAAAAAATTAGTCTTCTGGCCCATCACCTCAAATAACCTTTGAATGTCACCCTGTGCATAAACAAACAAGGCTATCTGTCAGATGTTTTGTCCCGCTCCTTCCTAATAAAGCAACAAGCAAAAACAGCCTCTTTGCTCTTGTGGCTTTTAAAAGTTGTACAACAATGATGCTGTAAGAAAACATCAATCAGCCTTCAATGCTCCAAGCCCCACCTCAAAGGTTCCTGAACATTTAGAAAGTATGGGTGACCTGTGCACACCTCGGTGCCATGTTACCATCAACACCTTCATACTGCGGATAGAATTATGCCAGAGGAAAGTGAATCTGTCCCTGCTTGCGATATTTTTACTGGTCAAATTGACCATTCTATACAGGCTTTTTATATACCCATTGTACGTTAGGAAATTATCACATTTATTCTATGTCAGATATTAATTAGAAACCCTAAAGTGTAAAGCTGTCACAATGCAGGAGACACAACACACAAAAAAACAAGTGAATTCTAGTGGGAACTCTTTCTGTTCTCACTTCCTAGTCAGCTGGAAAGCACAGGTTTAAAGAGCCTGAAATTTCTGCCAGTTATTGTACGTGGTAAAAGCTCCCGTAAATAAAAACAGATTTTGTACACATCATTTTGCTCTGCTGTGTATTTAACTCACCTGTTAAATACGCAGTTTATGAGTTACGATTTGGAACAGCTAAAACATATTTCTTCCCAGCACTCACATCTTAAGCAGCATTAGACTCTGAGACAGGTTGGTAAGTTGTTTGGACATGCACCTTAAATCAAACCACTCTCTCACAGAAAGATTACCTCGATTTTTCTCAAATGTAATACATCTTTTGAAACTTCTCAATATTACAGCTCATGACTTCCTAAAGGAAAACAAAGGTGTGATATCCTGTGCACCTGATGTGATTCTCTATTAAGCGGTTATTCCATAAATGGGAAAATCTGTTTTTGCAGATGGAGAAGAGGAAAAACCGGTCATCAATGGACATACAAAAGGTGCTACTTGGCATGAGGGAATACCGCATGGGCCTGATCCAGACCCCTGACCAGCTCCGCTTTTCATACATGGCTGTCATTGAGGGAGCCAAGCTCATCCTGACAGACAACTCAGAAACACAGGTAGTCACAAGAATGATTGAAAGCTTGTAAAAGTCTGGTTCTAAATAAGCTTTTGTAATTTGTTATCTGACTTTCAGTAACCACCCAAAGAGCAGTGTTACTCCAATAAAAGACAGACGCATTGTTGTGGTTTCAAGTTTTGCTTTCAGTTTCGCTCAAAAGCCGGCATCAGACGCTATAAGAGGTGGCGATGACTGATTTTTGAATGTTTCTTTGACATTTTCTGGGAAAGTGAAGCTAATGATTTGAAAGCATTAAAGGGAAATGAGAAATTTTAAATGATATGCTGCACTTACGTTGAGAAACATTGGCTTGTATACAAGTATATTAGAATCATTCTGTTTTACTCCAGAGAAGTGAAAATAAACATAATAGTAAAGTTTAAGGTTACATGTGGGCTCTTGGTTTTCTACCATCCTTTCACGGTCTGGTTAGCTTGGAAACGGGTCTGGAAATTGCATTCTTTAAGGCATTAAAGTCTTAAGTTTTCAACTGTACATGCTGAAACCTGCAAAAATCCTGTCTAAATGTTCTCTTGCTGCATCGACACAAAATTGCCTTTGACGCAGACCGTATAAAACACAACCTCACAATAAAATGAAGTGATTACCAGAGTTTCAAGCCCTGCCAGCAGTAATTTTAAATGTTACAAACTTCCTAATTCCATTTCATTTTTTTGGAGTTTTTCTTCAGAGCCATCAGAAAGTGTCTAAAGTGGTGTGTGTGGGTGCTTTCCCATAACAATGAATAGGGCCTCTTTAATTTATAAGGTAACTGTCAAAATAATGGCCGACTCACTTGACAAACTAACTAGATCCTCACACTTGTTATGTAATGACTATACAGATGCTCTTTGATCATTTGCGTCTTGCAGGTGCCCTTTCTTTACCAGAATTTTACTTTTGCCACTTGCAAACTAAATGATGAGAATGTGAGCCAACATATTTAAAAATCAGGAATTTAAGCTTTTATTTTGGAAAAGGATCACTATTCTCGTCCTCTGTCATAAGCTGACAGTACACTGAAATTTTCCTTCTTGGTTGTCTCTGCATGTCATCCTCTTTGTTAGAACAAGCTGACACAGCTGTCCAGAGATGACCTGGAGCCAGATCTACCCCCTCCACCACCTCCACCTAGACCTCACCTTAACGACAGCAGACCCAACGGACCCCACCTAGAGTCTCAGGCCCCCTCAGGAGACAGGCTTGCAGGAGAGCCAGATGCCCAAGATCACAATAAGGCAGACAATTCTGGGCAGTAAGTAACAGTACTGAAGTTTGGCAGATTAAATATTAAGCGTTGAAATCTGCTGACTTGTTTCCATCCATGCGCTGAGATTCAGTTTATCTTTTTGAGCACATAGAAAAGAAAGAAATCAGATTTCACCCTTTTATTTGTTCATCTTTATAGTAAAGCTTTGGTACAGCAGTGACACAATTTGTGGGGATTAAAGTGAGTATTACCCTGTTGTTTATTGTTGGACTGCTGTACTCTCTGTCTTATTTCAGGGTCCGAAAGCGACACCGTGAGGAAAGGATTGCCAGCACAGCACAGAGGGTCCAACAAATGAAACAGAGACTGACAGAGTCTGAGAGGAAACAGGAGAAGTGGCAGTACTGGAGACCCATCCTGTTCAATGTCGGCGCCGGCGCCGGGGCTGTCTTGGCCATAAGCCTGCTGTACTGGATGTATTCCCAGTGAAGCACTGCGGGTCACTTAAAACGGACTCTTATTTTGCACCGGTACCTGAGATTAGGTACTTCTTCTCGACGTAGACTTAGACAGTAATATGTGCAGAATTGAGGGTATTTATTTCTCAAGGTCAAAATGCGGGAGCGCTAGATCAAACGAGCGTCTGTATATTTTTCATGTAAGATCGAAACAAAAAAAATAGTAACATCTCAGGATCTCGGTGCCAGCACGATGATTTAATTTCCTTTCCTTCTTGTCACTGCTCATGAATGTACTGTATCATAGCAAAAATGGCTTTGCAGAAACTTACTAAAGGTGCAGTACAAAGAGAAATATATAGTGACAGGTTTATTTTTACATTCTTTATTTGTAATAGTCAGATATGTGTCGATCAACACGTTTTACATTTTGCATTTCAGAGTGACTTGTGTTGACTTGTTCATCCTACTGTAGACTTGTAGGAAAACTCCAGAGCCAAGATTCAGCTGTAGGATTTTACTTTTCTTTAGTTTTAATGTAATATAATGAAATGCATGCATTCTGCGGTTTTCCAGACCACCACTTGTTCTTCCATTCACATTTAGCAGGGCATCTCAACACGGCCAGAAGAATATTTTTGTGTGAGTGGACACTTCCTTGCCAATGTTTCAGACTCGGCTAGAGTGGTTATTTTCTGTTATGTGCACACTTTTTTTTTTTGCCTGCCTTTGTTAGCTGCCACATGGATCATAAACGTTGCCCCTTAGCAAGTTATTTACCCACTGGATGGGTTGGTCTGTGTTTGTTCAGGTGATCACGCTGTTTTTGTTTTTTGTTGTTGTTTATTTTAAGAAACCAAAGCCTGTTTTTAGGAAGATAACAGTCAGACAAGCTCCTGATGATGAACCCTCGCATACTCCCCTCATGTCGAATGTATATTCTGTTGAATCTCTCTGTCATAACTGACACCTGTATTACAAAATGATGCTAGTACCGTTCTACATTCTGTCCGTGTTTTGAACCCACATGATCGCCGATTCGGTTTTCAATTGACTGGGACCAATCTAAAGCTACAATAGTGCAATTTAGAAGCTGAAGGAGAGCACCTTGGATTAAATTTAGAAGAGAGCGATGTCCTTGTGGGGTGGTTGAAAAAGCTTTTAATGTGCCTTGAAATGTGTTAAATACGGAAAGGAGGAAAAAAAGTGCGCTCCCAGAATATTTTTATTTTTTATTTTTTTGGTGTGTGCGATCAGTACAGAAAATTGTCGTGTCGCACGTAATGTGAGTAACATGTTTGCACTGCAATGACCAGATTAGAGGTGGTGTACAGTAACATGCGTCTGAGTTGATTGAACATTGAATGTGTCATTAGCATGTTTCGACTCCTGAAGTGAAATTTTTGATTGGCTACAGTAGAACATGGCTTTTATTTTATTATTATTGTTATTTTCTTATTTAACAATAATATAGTGTAACATTCCATTCATTTGTTTTCTGTGTACAGTTTTCAGGGGAGTTTTGTACACTGTTGAGCTGCAGTGTGGAACATGACAGAAGACTTTTGATGAGAAAAATGACAAAACCACAACAAAAACATTAAATACTTCATAAAAAATAAAATTTTCTTTTTTTTTCTTTTTTTTCTAAACAAAAATTTGCTTGCCTGTTCTTTAATTCTGTATCCGTAAAGCAGCTTACCCACAGCTCTTCCCACCCCACTCACTTTCTATGCTGTTACTCATAATTTCATTCTGACCATGAGCTAAATCAATGCAGACAGACTGGAGACCTCTCACTGTGGATTCCAGGAATTGATTCAATATTTCAAGAAGAGGCCATGCTCACATTGACTGCTGTAGTAATTTCATTTTCTCTTGTCTGGGACTGTGTGTGGTTTGTGTTGAATGTATTTTGTGCCTTTGCACTTATTTCAGCTTGTCTGTATGATGTTGGCTTGATCTCTTTTGTCGTTATATCGTACAGCTCCTCCTAATTCTGGTCGTTTTAGAGGTCGCCACAGCGAATCAACTGCGTCCGTCTCACACCGTCTAGCATCCTGCTCTGTCACACCAATCCTCTGCATCGCCTCCTTTCGTACACCCATGAACTTCCTCGGAGATCTTCCGCTCTAGCTTCCTTTTTGTCTGTGTCACCATCTCAAAGAGACGATATGTAAACCTCACTTTCAGTTTTGTTGCTGTCCTTTCACCCCTGATGACATTTATCTTCTACCCTGCCTGGACTCTGTTCCTCACCTCTCTTCTGCACTGTATTTTCACTCTCTCTACTACGGTACGATCATCTTTCCACCTGTTGCCCTCTCATTCACACTTGTATTTTGTGTTACTCCTGCTGACTTTAATCCTCTACAGTGCATACCACTACCTCTATGGGCTCTGGTCCACCTGCTTCCCAATCACACTACAGATCAGTGTCATCTGCAAACATCATAATCCGTGTAGACTCCTGCCTGACCTCAACTGTCAATATATGCCTATCGCCACTGCAAACAAGAAGGGGCACAGAGCAGATCCTTGATCGTTTGTAACTCCTACTGCATGCATCACCACTGTCTCATTGTCCTCATACATGTCCTGCACTACACACACACTTCTCTGGCCCTCTTGACTTCCTCATACAGTACCACAGTTCCTCTCTTGACGCTGTTTCTCTGGATCCACAAAGGCACAGTGAAGCTCCTGACCTCTATACTTCTCAATGATTACTCTTAATTACGTTTAAGAGTAATCATTCATCACATCTATAGTGCTCTTTCCCGGCATGAGGCCATACTGATGCTCACTGATCATCACCTATATTAACTTAGCTTCAGCAACTCTTTCCCATATCTTCATGGTAATGGCCCCATCAGCTTTATCCCTCTGTAGTTACTACAGCTATGCACATCACCCTTGTTCTTCCCCACCCTTGTTCTTGTGTCAAACAATCTGGTTAAAAAGTCCACTTTCTCCTAGACATCTCCATACCTCCACAGGTATGGTGTCTGGACCAACCGCCTTTCCACTCTGCATCCCCTTATAGCTGCCCTCCCATCCTCCTTACCAATCCTTGGCTCTTCCTGATTCACTGTCCTCCATCCATCCTCCTTTCTCTCTCATTTTCTTCATTCACCTGCTCCTCAAAGTACTCCTTCAGTCTTCTCAACTCCATTTCTTCACTTGTTAGCATATTTCTAAATCTGTCTTGAATCACTCTAACCTGCTATACATGCTTCCCAGCTCGATCTCTCTGCCTAGCCAGTCAGTCGTTTTGTCATCCATGAGTATTCAGTCTCACATACAACTTAAAACCTTACAGACCCAACTCCTCTTTGTACATCTGTTTTCTTCACCTTTCTTCATCCATTGAAGCCCCCTCCCGAGTGACACTCTCTACTCATTAACAGAATTTAAACAATAGGTCAAGAAATAATGCAACCATTTCACCATAAGTTTACTTTTCTTAAAACATTTAATTTTATTGATTTTTTTTTTTTTTTTTTACAGAGATTTTGCTCCCTACTGGGATAATTATAAGTACTTAGAAACGTACGGGTCATTTAATCTTACAAAGTTGCATTTAAATGTTTATTCCTTTGTCCAAAGCAGGTTATGCACACCGAATATACACGATATACATACTTTGATCCATTTATGTCTTGTCTTGGTAAGAAAGCGATACCACATACAAAAAAGCTACACATAAGAAATAGTAGCTATAATTTAAACTACAATTCAAGGGTCTTTCTCATGTCGTCGCAATTCGTGATGCGATTGGGGTACGTAAAAATATCCCTGAATAAAATTGGAAATAATTGGTGAGCAAAAATAAACTAAAACTACAATAAATATACCACCAAAAATACTTATATCGTGGTTTATATGTCGATTCTTATAAATCCTGTAACTTTAGAGCAAAATTGTCGAGGTATTGATTTTTTCCGGAGTATGGTGTCGGGCATCAGCGGAGAAACCTTCCCGCTCGCTTTTCCGCCACTGTTTAAACTGGTAGTTGTTGCTGTCAGAAAAGAAAATTTCTGCGAAAAATGGCGAATGCATACACGGTTCCATTATAGCTCATATAAGAAGAAACGGCGTTATTTAATGTTTCTACCACTACCCATGTCTAAGCCTGGCTAGTTAGCTTAGCCTAAAAAGCACAAATAATAGCAATAATGTCGCTGCCTCCAGAGAAAGCTTCCGAGCTGAAGCAAATCATTCACAACCATCTGCTCAAGGTGAGAAAACTACATAGATTTTATGGCAATTCGTGTTGTACACAATGTACAGTTGAATGCTGAAGTCCTTAAGCAGCATACAAATACACGGGTATTTTTCATGAACGGGGGAAGCTAGCTGTTTATAGTGGGCAAATAGATTTTTTTAATGTCACAAATGGCTATTTCCTTGCATTTGCACATCACAGAGAAATCTCATATTATCACCTAGTTGGTAAGATTGGCTGCACCATCTCTTTATACAGCATTATTTGAAGCACCGTAGGGAACCGCTGCTGTTTTCCAGCCAATATGAGCTACCTGTCAAGCCTCTATAAGCAGATAAAGTACAAATTCACACAGCACACAAGACCAATTTCGATCCTATATTTTCGATCGTACATTTATTGCTGTTTTGAATGAAAAATTGATTTAAAAAAAGTAATGAATGAGAAAAGATTTCGCATCAATAATGCACGGAATAGACGGTACTTATAGGTCTACTGATATAAAACATTTCCTGATGGGTTTGCCTTCATATTCACACTTCCCAAAGTCAGAGTTTAAATGGAAAGGACTGTTTTTAGAGGATGTTGAGAAAGCACAAACACATTTTTTAAGTAGGTGAAGGAATTTTGTTCTTCTGTTTGTCAGATGGATATCCATGGGAAGATCCGAGAGGTGCTGGCTGAGACTGTGAGGGATGATCAAGGTCCTGCACGTCGGTCTCTGTCTGAGGCAGATTTCCTGCGTGCTCTGCAGCGCAGAGGCATCATAGATGATATGATGAAAGATCTTCACTTTACTCAGGTTGCCCAGCTTTTTGGATGCAGTTTCAGACCTATTTTCCAGATTGGTTTTTAATATAGAAGTATTTTTCATTCCATCCATTCAAAAATCGAACATTTACAATGTATTGATCCCCTTGATAGCTACGTTTTACTTTCAAAGTTTGCCTTCAGTATGGATTAAACATATCTGTAATACAGTGTGTCAGTTCTGTCCCATCTTTTCTGACTGTTCTTTTTTTTTTTTTTTTTTCTGACTGTTCTGTCGTGTCGTTTTGGCGTGGTAGGAAGCCGGCACAGAAGCAGAAACAGGATCGCCTACAAAACCTGCTGCTCACTTTGTCGATAAAGATATCACTCATCTGAAAAAAAGTAAGAAACATTATTTGCAAACCAAGCAAATAATAATGTGATGCATAGACCGTTTTGCATAATATTATTCCTCTTCTGCTTTTCTCTTCTCAGCCAATATCGACCCATCAAGGCGATGTCTGTATCTCCAGGTGCTTGGAGGCAAAGCCTTTTTGGAGCATCTCCAGGAGCCGGATCCCTTACCTGGTCAGGTGTGTTCTACCTTCACACTCTACCTGCACTTCCGCAACCAGAGGTTTCGATCAAAGCCAGTGCCCTGTGCCTGTGAACCTGACCTCAAGGAGGGCTTCCTGTTAGAAATCCACAGAGACGGTATAGGTGTGTGTTAGCCACCACTGTTTGTGTCACTCACAAATACTGTTCTTATTGTATTGCTTAATAAACCATCTATGTACAGAGTATCATTTTACAATTTTTGTATTCCAGGGGAAAGTGGTAAGATGGCAGATGCGACCTCCATGCTGTCAATGTGTGACCCAGTGCACTTTGTGCTGATAAAAACAGACACCTCCAGTGAAACAATGCTTGTCTCATCCTACTTCCTGGACTGGAGGACTGTCCTAAGCTCGCCCAGTAGCAAGACCTGCTTTGCTGTAGAGCTGATGGGAGTTGGTGAGCAACAAACTCTCTGCACAAAGAGTTTCTAATGAAGGGTTCTTTTGATTTTATTTTTGAAAAACACAAGCAGAAGTCAAAAAATCATGCTGGATATCTAGCTGTATAGACCGGTTAATGTGTTGGTTGGAAATGAAAATTATCAACCTACAAAGTGCTGAATTCAAAGACACTCCCACAGTAAAAGTGAGAAAATGATGCGGCAGTGCTCTGGGGTGAGGTGCTCTATTGGATTTAGTTGAGCAGAGGGGCCAGTCAGTGGTATAAATTCCTTCGTCCTCCAGCCTCCATACTCTCACCCCATGAGGCTGGGCATTGTGTTGCACCAGGCGGAATCCATGACCCACTGTATCAGTGTGGGGTCTGACACTGGGGCCAGTGATTTCATCCTGATATCTGATGGCATTCAGGGTTCCGTTGCCTAGCCTGTAGAGGTCTGTGAAGATATGCCTCCCCTGACCATCACTCACTGACCACCAAACCAGTCATGCCGAATTATGTTACAGGTAGTATCATTCTCCAAACCCCTTTGCATCTGTCACATGTACTCAGGGTGAACCTGCTGTCATCTGTGAAAAACACAGGGGCCATTAGTGACCTGCTAAAGATAATTTTGT